GATACCACAGGTTTTTACAATCTCAGTTATTTTTAATGATGTCTTTTATCAAACAGCACGGAGGCTTTAAACACGCTCAGATTATACATTTATGTTATTGTAGTTGTTTTTTTAATTTAAGTCTGATATCTCTTATTATGATTCTCATTATTTCCTTTCGTGTATATAAATGTATATGTACAAGAGCATGTAAATATACAAATATAGTTGTTTTTTTACATTGCTATTTAAAAAAAAATATTATTCATTTGTTTTCTATATTATTCTGTAATTCTTTCTGTTTGGTCGAATATACTGTCTGGTCACTTGGGGGGGGAAGGGTATTGTGTGTTGGATTGAAATTTTCAATAAAGAGTATAAAAAAATAAATAAAAAAACAGATTCATGATCAAAAGCTCCGTCAGCAGAAGAGCACGCCGTCTGAACTCACAGAAACACGCTCGCCAAAGAAGCGTTTCCCTTGTCTTTCAGGAGATTTTCCCGCATCTACTCGTAATTAAAGAAATGATTCACTGTCGGTTTGCCTCGGACCTCTGGGTTTTATGTTGCCGTGGTATCCAAACAGGCCGTGGAACATTTAGTGTACAGGAACAGGCTCCATTGTGGAGTGACACATCTTCATTATAATCATTAGCGTCCTCTTTCCGTCCCTCCCTCTCCTTCCTCCTTCCTCTAATTCTACACATCCTTCCCCATCAAGACCACCACGCCGTAATGGCACAGACAAGTCCGGTTTACCACTTTATTGCTATTAACCGGCCTAATTCTAATACGAGGGGGATTTCACCCTAAAATAACTCAGACGCAGCGATAGCGCACCATGTGGTCGCTCTTAAGCTGAATCTACACTTCCACCATTCAGAGTGTCACACTGAGGGCCGACGTGTAGAAGGAGCTCAAACACTTGTCTTTCCTCCTGCTGTCCCCCCCTCCCTCCTCCTCTGGAGATTTCCCTGAACAGGAGCCCCCCCCCCCCCCCCCCCCCCCCCCCTCCCCCGCCCCTCTTTCTCTGGCTCTGTCCATCACAGCCTGCAGCCATTAATCATCTCAAGTGGACAGCGCTGACAGCAGTTGGCAGCATCACTCTTTTTATTTTCTTCCTTTTTTTTTTCCTGAATCGCACACTCGCAGCCTCTCTGAACCCCCCCCCACCCCCCCACACTCGATTACCTCTTCACAACCTCACCTCCTGCCCAAAACAAAACAAACATTCACCCATCTGCTTCATCGAAAAAACCTTTGAGGTAGTTAATGGCGTCAAAGCTGCGGGGGTGAAACAGCAGAACGTGTAATGGAGATGGTGAACAGCGAGGTCGGCGTTCGCCCACGCTCTTCCAACACGAGCGGGCCGCCGTGCATTTACATGAGGAGGCATTAGCTGACGACAAAAGGACGACCTCGAGGACGATGAGAACAGACACACGAGGACCCGGGGAGGGTTAGGGTTCAGCGTCGTCATGACGATGATTTACAGGTGTCTAGCCACTTCCTGTTTCAGATGTCCCGCCCATTTCTTTTTTTTTTACAAACTGTTTGCCTGAGGAAGGTCTACTACCGACAAAAACATCAGGACACACACACACACACACACACACACACACACACACACACACACACACACACACACACACACACACACACACACACACACACACACACACACACACACACACACACACACACACACACACACACACACACACACACACACACACACACACACACACACACACACACACACACACGATTCAGGACAGCTGCTGAAATTCCTCAACCCCTCACACATGCTTACACACTAACATACACACACACGCTCACACACGCGCACGCTCACACACGCGCACACTCACACATACACACTATAACACACACACACACACACACGCCTGTTTTAAAGCGCAGGGGCAGGAAATGGGAATCCCTCGTAAGTTTTCCTTCCGCTGTTGCTTTTCCTCTCGAGGCCTCGAGGCCCCGAAGACGAGGTGGAGAAATCACTTCACCATTTGTCTCCCTCCGTCCGGAGACTCGTCTGGATTTCACTTCAGCTCGCGACCTGTTTTACAAACTCGTGCTCGTTTTATGGAGCTTCCTGCTCGGAGGGTCAGGACTTTGATATCTCAGCAGCTGTTATTCCTCTCCTTCTTCCACAAAGTGACATTCACTCAAAAAAGGACTCTTTCATTTAAAAAAAAAAAGAGTGCAATAATCTTGACCCCATATCTCGTAAGCGAAGAAAGGAAGGAGGAGTAAACGCACGGTAATTAGAGGGTGACATCGACGAGTGCTCGCTCGCTCTTCATCTCATGCCGTCTTGGCACAGAGAGCAAAAAAAAAAGGGAACCCAGCCAAGCAATTTGTTCCCTGTGATTAAGATTCTTGTTTGAGAGACAGCAAAGGTCAGCCAAGTGCCTCTCGTCTCAGGAGGAGGGGTGAAGAGCTCGCGTTAGAGTAGCTGAAATTATACCCTACCCTCCCGCACGCCGCCGCGAGCTGCAGGTCGCTCAAGTCAACATATCCTCCGTCTTTATGTGAAGTTGCTGTTCCCCTCCCCCCTCCTGCAATAAGACGACATTATTCCCCGTGTGTTTCTGCCTCTGCCTCACACTTCTCTATAATAGATGAGCACTCTGGAGTTATATTTGTTACCGCCGTTGTCGAGCACTGACCCCCTGACACCCGCTCGCCGCTGGTCACTTGTTCGGACGGCGAAATGGGGAAGTCATCCCTGTGAGCTGAATCGAGTTGCACTCATTACAATTCAAGTTGGAAACGAGTTAAAGAAAACGTTTATGACATGAAATTCAAGATGTGAATCACACACGGACGCCAAAAAACCAGCGGATCTCTCTTTACGCTGATGACGCCCCGACTCTCATCGATAATATTCTAAAGATGATTTATTGACCAAACACAAACAGAGATCAAATCAAACCTTCTGTTTCTAGATTTCTTAACCACATGAAACACATCACAAATGGTCGATCGACTACGGTGGCTGGGAAGTTCAATCCAAAGTGTGAATCACTTTTACAAAGCTTAAGAATTTTTTTACATTTTATAAAAACCAGAGTTACAAGATCTGAAACACAACTTTTACAAACAGACGCCGAGTGATCCGTTTTGTTGAACCCACCTGATCAGAACACCGTTCACATGAAAAGAAAAATCATGCTAACTGTCTCTGGCGGGTTCAACAAAATGGTCCAAACATCACTCGGCCAGAATCAACTTTTTCAACCAAAACAAAAATATTAACCCCTTACTCACGAGCCCATTTCAGATGGCTTTATTCATAGGACTAACTAATGTCAGCCGTCACCACGTCTTCCACACGGGTTACACACACACACACACACACACACACACACACACACACACACACACACACACACACACACACACACCACACACACACACACACACACACACACCACACACACACACACACCACACACACACACACACACACACACACACACACACACACACACACACACACACACACACACACACACACACACACACCTTAAAAGTGTTTCTGATGTGATTACTCAGGTTTTTAAACCTTTTTAATCGAACTCCTCTTGAGGACCGCCCCGATGAGGATGGCGTGATTTTCGGTTTTTAACTCGGTGTGACGATCTCGCCGTGTTTCTGTGGCCTTCATGTCTCATGTTTCATGACTCCTAACGGGTCTGCTTTATTCGGACTCTGACTTTGAGGCTTAAAGATTGTAAAAAATAACTGTAAACCAATATTTGGATGAACTTTCCATCAGCCTATTGATGCTAATGAAGTGAAAATGATGTGACATGTCGCCGTGTAATCTTCCAGTTATCTGCTGCCAAACGACCTTTTAGTCACTTTGATGGATTTCTCCCGTCTGACCAGAGAGAGTGAGGGGTCAACCGGCCACTCCCAACGTCTGGACAGAGATGCTAACAGGGTCCTGACAGACCCCCTCTATCTATCTCTCTCCCTCTCTTTTTCTCTCTCCCTCCCTGTCTCTCTCTCTGACTCAGCTTAATTCATCAACCTCCAAACAAGACCAGATAACCAGAAGCTGCTCGCCAACCCACGCACACGGGCCAGTCTACACAAACGTACTCGCCGTCATCATCCGTCACGCTCTGACAAAACAAACCATGCATCTCACACACACACACACACACACACACACACACACACACACACACACACACACACACACACACACACACACACACACACACACACACACACACACACACACACACACACACACACACACACACACACACACACACACCACACACACACACACACACACACACACACACACACACACACACACACACACACAGGTCCTGTCGGTGGTGTCAGAGCGGTCAGCTGAGCCGCCGTCTGTTGGCAAACTAAATAAGTCTCTGGCGCTGATGCTGTGGAACCACAGAGATCAGCAGAGACAGGTCTCACCTGCTGACCCCTTAAGGCCTTTCCTCTGGGGAGGGGGAATTAGTGAAGGATTTCTGAGCCAGTGAGAGTTACAGCATGTTGTTTTTTTTTGTTTTTTAAGGTTGATCAGTGACACTCGCCAACCTGGTGGGACATGTAAACACTGAGAGCTACTGCAGACTCACACTAATCAATCTGTAGTGGAACTCCAGATGCTCTGTAAAAAAAACAGACCCCCCCCCCCCCCCTCGCTCCTCACACAGAGACAGGAAATGACTCTACAGAAATGGAAGTGGTGTGGTATTTGCTTTTCCACATAGGCAGAGGATGAAAAATCAACGCAAGCTAACCTCACATGTGTGGCAGCTTTTAGCAGCTAGCATAACGGACAGGTCGCTCCTATCAAGCATCTAAAGGACACACACGGCGAGATTCATAAATATAAATATATAAACTGTCTAATCACAGAGTCGAACCTGAGGGACGCCTGTGTGCAGAGAACGACCCTCCACAGATCGGACTTTGTTCATGTGGTCGAGACAGAAAGCGTGCAGAGTGTTTCCTACCTCTCTTTTGCATGAAGGTGAAGAGGTCATCCAAGAACTCCTTCCTTTTGGGGTCGCTGTCCAGTTCGTACAGCTGGAAGACAAAAAGCGGAGCCTGTGAGGTTAAAGGTCGTGTGTGTGCGTCTAGTGGAGGCTGACGAGGCCGTGGTCGAGTGTCGTCTCTGTTGACTTTTTACTAATTTTAAGATGTGAAAATGTTTGTTTTTCTTCGTCTCTGCGGCGAGACGACAAATCAGAGAGGGTTCAAATCTTTGCATCAAATCGACGACAACTTTGAGAAATGAAGAACCGATTGTTTAGTTAAAAAAGTAGAACGAGGAAACAGCTGAACTTCTCCGTCTTTAACTTAAGATTTGAGGCGTTGGTGGTCTGCATCAGATGAATGCACGGACCGAAATCAACGTTTTGACTCCCTGGGTCGTAGATGAAATAATTCACCTGTGGAGATTTTGTTTCAGTGCATCTAAATCAGTAACAGGATCAGGACATTTGGAAATGATACAAAATTGACTTGCTCGCCTTTATTTATTTATTTTTAGAAAGGTCATTGGTGGATGATGACGTCAGACCTTGGATGAATGTATTTCATTTCTAATGAACACTGTTACCATGACAACAGCTGCATTGCCACTTGTTCTCCATGTTTTGGTTCACACAGAAATCAAACTCTGTGAGCTGCATGTGTGAATGCAAAAACACACAGCAGGTAACATTCAGGACACTGTGCTGCCACCGCTGCCCTCGTCATTCACCAGAAGAAGAATGAACGTCGTACTGTTATTATGTCCTGAGGTCATCCTCCAATCACAGCCTCTCTAAAAAAACTCACCTTTGCAAAATCTCTGGAGGCCTCTCCTCGTCCTCGGCTGCTGTCGGCCTCGTCAGCCCAGCCGGCGCTCCCGTTCTGCAACAGAGAGAGAGAGAGACACAGGCACGGTCAAAAATAAGGTCAAAAATAAGGTCAACAATGAGGTCAACAATGAGGTCAACAATGAGGTAAAAAGGCAGAAAGTTGTACCAAACATGTCCAGAGAGGGTCCAGTTTGGAGTTATCTCATGTTTGAAACATAAACAGATAATCTCTGTCGTTAAGATCATTGTTTTGGCATTAGCCCTTTATTTGATTGTGACAGAAGAGACGCAGAATATTAAAGAAGGACGAGAGTGAGAGAGTGAGAGAGTGAGAGTGAGAGAGTGAGAGTGAGAGTGAGAGAGGGAGAGTGAGAGGGCGAGAGAGAAGTCTTTAGCTTAGCTTTAGCGAGAGCTGAACCAAAGATTGTCTGATTTTTTATTCTTCAGAATGTGTTTCGACCTTCGAGGTCTTTTTTTCTAAATCGTGTTCTTTTGACTTTAACCTCCTAACAGATACTCTGCTCGCAGCTCGCCACCGGCTGGAAGGTTAAAGGTTTAGGTCGGGCTCAAAGACACACGGCTCAAAACTCTGAACTAGTTTCAACAGCGGCTGGCATTCTGCAACACAAACACATGAACACAAACTCTTTGAGAGTGCATTTTTTCCAGGGGTTGGAGGAGTAACCTCTGGAGTTATTGTGCCCCTGAGCTCCTGTGTCCCCCCCTGCCCCCTCCCCCCTTCATCCTCAAACATCTCCATTTGACCTAAACCATCTGCATCTGGGCCAGCCCTGCCCCCCACCCCATGTCTTCCGACCCAGCTGGATACAAGGGCCCCCCATCCTTCAATCTTAACGCAGCTGTGACGGGTGGCCAAGTTCATGGAGTGGAGCTGTCAGGAGGGGCCAGCCGGGGGGGGGGGGGGGGGGGCTGGTCAGTAGCCTGCTGCACACACACACACACACACACACTCACACACACACAGAGCAAAGAGTGATCATTGCTGTGTGTATGTTTGTGAGTGCAGAGAGGGAGGGGGTGTGGGGGGTGGGGGGATAATGGCCCCACAAGACGGGAAGGAAGGAAAATAGGGGCAGAAAGGGGGTGCACGGTATGTGCCGAGCAGGAATGTCTCCTGAAGACAAAAACCTATAAAAGCATCAGGAATCAAAACAAGATCCGTTCGGGGGGGGGGGGGGGGGGGGGGGGGGGGACGTTAATAGCTGCAGCCGAGGGTCCGGTTTCAAACGGGAGCTCATTGGTCAGTGGCAATTACAAGGCCTGAAATGAGAGCTGGCAGGCCAAAGGTTGTCAAGGCCCCTGAGAGCAAGTCATTTTCACCCTCTCACTCTCTGGACGTGTAACGCTTGTCAACATTCATGCTCTCTGAACAAACACCATCAAGCTGACGGCGCTCGCCAAAACGCAGACTTCCACAGTTCAAAACACCACGGCAGCTTTTTTACACCATGCAGCCCTCAGATGTTCAGATTATAACCCAGTGGACCCCACTCTCAGGCTGGATCCAGAAAAAACACAGAAATATATAAATATATAAAAAATATCTGAAGGCAAATTAGGGATATGTGCAGAGTGCAAGAAACACAGAACAAGTGAGGACCAGGGCAAGACAGTATGAATAAGATCAAATCCAAGAATGTAAAAGGCACAGGTACAGAACATAATGAATGGTACATTCTAATTTATCTTTGTTTAAATCACATTTTCTACAATATTCTTCTCCCTTCTCCTTTTGAAAAAGACAAAAGTCATTTTTCCCATAAAGCTGAATTCACAATGTTCCTCAAGAGTCTCTGAGAGCAGCGACCAGCACAACAGTTTCCTCCTCCACTTTTCTTCTTCTATGGTCTAAGACTAAAGAAACGTGCTCAACCAGCTCGCTGTCCTCTTAAACGTGATACAAAATTAAAAAGATATCTGCAGCTTGCTCATTATCAGAAACACATTTCCCCGGCGGCGTGCGTTATCTGCAGTACGTCAGAGATTAGAGCGGGATCATCATGTGAGGGGAAATATTCAGTACGTGTGCAAAGGTCTGCACGGCCTCCAAACATTCCGATCTGACCTTTAACCCTTATAAAAACGACTATAACACGAGATCATTCAGATTGCACACATGCCTGCTCCTACACGGGAAAATTTTGCATTCTGCAGCTTTTATTTTGGCGGGGTTATTTCCTATTTTAAAGTCCAGGAGGTCGACCGCTGTAACGATTACCCAACAAACAGCTTCAGCGCTGAACGGGGGAATCGAACCTGAAATCAGCTGCTCACATGAAACACTGAAGCGTGTGCAAACAGGAAACTCTAAAGTTATAATTACTGAGATTTATTAAAGCTCATGCATCCTAACTCTGAACAGATGCAGCTCCATGCAGCTCTTTTCCACGATCACATCAAAGAGGCGACAGGAGCTGCTGAGAGCGAGCGGCCTTGGATCTGTGAGGTGAACGAGAGCGTGTTTACACTCAAACCATATGCACGCGCACACGCACACACACACACACACACACACACACACACACCCCCAAAGGGTCACTCTGTGTTTTGGACACTCAGGGGTCAAGGTGTTTCTGACATCAAGATCTCTCTCTCTCTCTCTCTCTCTCTCTCTCTCTCTCTCTCTCTCTGTCTCTCTCTCTCTGTCTGTCTCTCTCTCTCTGTCTCTCTCTCTCTCTCTCTCTCTCTCTCTCTCTCTCTCTCTCTCTCTCTCTCTCTCTCTCTCTCTCTCTCTCTCTCTCTCTCTCTCTCCTCTCTCTCTCTCTCTTCTCTCTCTCTCTCTCTCTCTCTCTCTCTCTCTCTCTCTCTCTCTCTCTCTCTCTCTCTCTCTCTCTCTCTCTCTCTCTCTCTCTCTCACAGAGCGATGTGGACACGTCTGCCGTTAACCATGAATAGACATGTCGGCTCTTGAACCGGGATCCTTGGTCAGCCGAGGAATGTTAACACCACGTTTGCTTTTGTGGAGTTAAGAGTGGATACTGATGTTTTCAGGACCACTCCTTATGATCAGTCACCTCAGTCCCCTCATCACGCGCGGCGCCCCACCCAGAGAACGCCGCTTTAAAAAAAGACGTTCCCACAGCCGACCTGCAATTACAAGGCCGGTCTGATTTCATCCAGAGACGTCTTTATGTTCATGTTATAGAGGTCCAGCCCGTAGCCAGAAACCTGAGCTCCAACGCCATCAGCTCAAATTGAATCATAATATTCAGACGCAGCGTTGAACATGTGGATCTATGCATGCCTTGTGTGTGTGTGTGTGTGTGTGTGTGTGTGTGTGTTGGACAGAAGCCTTCATACGTCTAAGCCGCCCCGTGTTTCCCCTGTGTCTCCCTCTCATGCTGTTAGCCGGTTTACCGGCAAGGCAGCAGTGGGTGGCCTAATCACATTATGGTCGTACGTGACTGACTGGTGCAGCGACAAATCAGAGATAAGAATGAGGTCGATGACCATTACATTACATTTAAAGAGACACACACATCAAAACGGAGCGTTCTGAGAGAGCTGGTTTCTACAGGGTCACAAACCTCCTCTGGTGCTTGATTCATGTTATATTTTGACCAAAGCACAGCACAGATGTTTCATTTAGACCACAGGGGGACTGTTTGAAAAGGTGGAGGAGGACTGTTTGAAAAGGTGGAGGAGGGGACTGTTTGAAAAGGAGGAGGAGGACTGTTTGAAAAGGTGGAGGAGGGGACTGTTTGAAAAGGTGGAGGAGGACTGTTTGAAAAGGTGGAGGAGGGGACTGTTTGAAAAGGAGGAGGAGGACTGTTTGAAAAGGTGGAGGAGGGGACTGTTTGAAAAGGTGGAGGAGGACTGTTTGAAAAGGTGGAGGAGGACTGTTTGAAAAGGTGGAGGAGGAGACTGTTTGAAAAGGTGGAGGAGGAGGACTGTTTGAAAAGGTGGAGGAGGACTGTTTGAAAAGGTGGAGGAGGAGACTGTTTGAAAAGGTGGAGGAGGAGGACTGTTTGAAAAGGTGGAGGAGGGGACTGTTTGAAAAGGTGGAGGAGGGACTGTTTGAAAAGGTGGAGGAGGGGACTGTTTGAAAAGGTGGAGGAGGGGACTGTTTGAAAAGGTGGAGGAGGGGACTGTTTGAAAAGGTGGAGGAGGGGACTGTTTGAAAAGGTGGAGGAGGGACTGTTTGAAAAGGTGGAGGAGGGACTGTTTGAAAAGGTGGAGGAGGAGGACTGTTTGAAAGGTGGAGGAGGACTGTTTGAAAAGGTGGAGGAGGACTGTTTGAAAAGGTGGAGGAGGAGGACTGTTTGAAAAGGTGGAGGAGGAGGATTGTTTGAAAAGGTGGAGGAGGACTGTTTGAAAAGGTGGAGGAGGACTGTTTGAAAAGGTGGAGGAGGAGGACTGTTTGAAAAGGTGGAGGAGGTGACTGTTTGAAAAGGTGGAGGAGGAGGACTGTTTGAAAAGGTGGAGGAGGACTGTTTGAAAAGGTGGAGGAGGAGACTGTTTGAAAAGGTGGAGGAGGAGGACTGTTTGAAAAGGTGGAGGAGGTGACTGTTTGAAAAGGTGGAGGAGGAGACTGTTTGAAAAGGTGGAGGAGGACTGTTTGAAAAGGTGGAGGAGGGGACTGTTTGAAAAGGTGGAGGAGGACTGTTTGAAAAGGTGGAGGAGGAGGACTGTTTGAAAAGGTGGAGGAGGACTGTTTGAAAAGGTGGAGGAGACTGTTTGAAAAGGTGGAGGAGGACTGTTTGAAAAGGTGGAGGAGGAGGACTGTTTGAAAAGGTGGAGGAGACTGTTTGAAAAGGTGGAGGAGGAGACTGTTTGAAAAGGTGGAGGAGGACTGTTTGAAAAGGTGGAGGAGGAGACTGTTTGAAAAGGTGGAGGAGGAGACTGTTTGAAAAGGTGGAGGAGGACTGTTTGAAAAGGTGGAGGAGGGGACTGTTTGAAAAGGTGGAGGAGGAGGACTGTTTGAAAAGGTGGAGGAGGACTGTTTGAAAAGGTGGAGGAGGACTGTTTGAAAAGGTGGAGGAGGAGACTGTTTGAAAAGGTGGAGGAGGGACTGTTTTTGAAAAGGTGGAGGAG